ACAAAGTCAAAGACGTAAAACTAAAAGACAGTGAGGTTATGGTTTCATTTGATGTTTGCTCCCTTTTTCCAAGTGTACCTGTTCCGCTTACTTTGACGTATTTAGAGGATTTACTTAAAGAAAATGGTTTCTCCGCCGACATTGTAGCTGAGTACATAACTCTGGCTTCAATGTGCATGCGGCAAAATTATTTTCAGATAAATGGTTGCTTCTACGAACAGAAAGAAGGAACAGCTATGGGGAATTCTTTATCACCCTTTATAGCCGACCTTTTTATGAGTCGTTTTGAAAGTGACCTTAGCCACCTTGAGTTTTTTCCTCGAATATGGCTTAGATACGTGGACGACATTTTTGCTATCTTCGATTTAAGTTCCAGAAGTCTTCAAGACTTTCTTGATGTTTTAAATTCACGTTTCCCTTCGGTTAAATTTACAGTAGAAATGGAAAAAGATGGCAAATTACCATTTTTAGATACGTTGGTTATAAGAAATGGGAATTCTTTAGAATTCGACATCTACAGAAAACCCACTAATACCTCTAGATATATACCCAACGACTCTAATCATTGTGTTCAACATAAAATGGCTAGTTTTAACTTCCTTGTACACAGATTACTTAGCTTCCCTCTTAGTAAAAATAGATATAATAAGGAACTCTGTACAATTAAGAAAATTGCAAAAGACAATGGTTACAATTGTAACATTATTGATAAATTAATTAATAAGATAAAATTTAGGAATTTTATTTCAAGATCTACGACTTTTCAAACAGATGCTAATAAAACCAAGTTTATTACTATGCCATACGAGCCAAGATTTACTCGCGGACTCGAGGGTATTTTTCGAAAACTTGGTTTACGGATTGCTTACAGTTCAAATGGCAACTCCATTCAAACTCTCCTTGGTAACCCTAAGGATAAAATTCCATTCTTAGAAAAGTCGGGGATATATGAAATTAGTTGTAATGACTGTAGTAAAAAATATATTGGACAAACTAGACGTTCAATCAAAACCAGATTTAAAGAACATCTAGCTCATGCTAGGTTTGGTAGAGAAGAAAAATCTAGTGTTGCCCAACATATTCTTACTGATGGACATAATATTAATATTAATAACCTTAAGTTAGTTAAAGAAGTTAGGAATAATCGTTTACTAGACAGTTTTGAAAGTTTATACATTTATAAAAATAAACAAATTGTTCTTAACAATGACAACGGTCCTATCCCTGGATCTCCGCTATTTAGTCTAGTTTAATTACGTTTATGATGTTGATGTTAAGGTCTATTGAACATCTACCTTGTTGGCACCGGGTCATGTTCACTGAACCTTAACAACTATCAGTATAAATTAGGATTAGTTCTCTTTTAGGTTTAGTTTACTTCAGTCCCTGAAGAAGGTAACTTTGTTACCGAAAAGTGCTTCGGACAACTACAGTGTCTTGTTTTGGCGTTGGGGTTTTGAACTATTCTGTTTGTTCTACAACAACCGCCAAAGTTTTTCCAATCTTCATAAAAACAGCGTTCTTGGTGATACCGAAAATAACGGATTACCTTCCGTCACGTCAGATCAATCCCACTACTTTAATGATACCAGCAAATATTACTCTCGCTGATTCAGATTTCTACAAGCCATCGGAAATAGACGCCCTAATCGGAGCTGAACTATTCTATAAATTACTTAGTACAGGTCAAATCAAACTTGCGAATAATTCTGCTATTCTTCAAAAAACAGTGTTTGGTTGGGTAATTTCGGGTTCAGTAAGGAGTAACGTTGAGAACCCCAAAAAGACATTGTGTTGCGTCTCCAATACGTCTTTAGATGATCAGCTGAAAAGATTTTCGGAAATCGAAGAGGTTGCACCTTCAGTACATTGGTCGCAAGAAGAAACAGCTTGTGAACAACACTTTATCGCAAATACCATACGCGAACCAACGGGACGTTATGTTGTAAGATTGCCATTCAACGAACAAAGGCAAATTTTAGGGGAATCTTATAATACAGCTCTAAACAGATTTAAGAATTTAGAACGAAAATTTGATCGAAATATAGAACTTAAGGCACAGTATTCGGTGTTTCTTCACGAGTATTTAGCATTAGGTCATATGTCAGAAGTCACAAATGATTCTAAATATACAGAAGGCTATTTCTTACCATACCACGCAGTTATTAAGGAGTCTAGTTTAACTACAAAGGTAAAAATAGTATTTGACGGATCAGCGAAAACGAGTAGTGGCATCTCACTAAACGATACGCTAATGGTAGGAGCTACAATACAAGACAATCTATTTTCTATATTAATTCGCTTTCGGTTACACAAATACATTTTAACAGCTGATATTGAGAAAATGTATCGGCAGATACGCGTGCATCCCGATGATGCAAGTTATCAAAAATTTCTTTGGCGCAGTTCGCAAAATAAACCTATTAAAGT